CCCCCCCCCCCCCCCCAACCACTACCATCAGCTTTCGTCGTCGTCGCGACATCATCATTATCATCACATAGCGCCTCGCGGTCATGGTGATCACGGTGGTGCCGAGATGCCGAAGATGATGATGCAATGAAACACTTCGTGAGCACAGACCAGACTGCTCAAAGGTGTCTAAGAGCTTGAAGTAAACTAAACCTTGCGCGCTTGCTTCCGAACAGGTCCGCGAACGCATGTTGCCCGCCGCAAGGGGTCGGGGGATTGAAGAACGAAGGTGCCCAAGACAAGACAAGAGCCTCAGAAGGAGCTTCACGGGGCCGGGAGCAGCAGACACCGTTCTCAGCCCCCTCCCACTTCAACAGCCCGAATCAGCGGTATTGATTCCTTCTGGTTGGGTCGAGGCCGTCCGACTGACGTGGATGTGTCATCGGCGAGGAGCCCGAAAGATGACGACTCACAGGCTTGAAGGCCTGCCAGACCAAGAAAAGTCCAGACCTGACATGTGGCACGGAGCGGAGAAGCCTTCAAAGCTGTGCTGGAGAAAAGCCTGAGACGATAGACTAGTAGCTGCGAGGGAGGCTGCTGGATTCTGCTGCAAGGGAGAAGTTCAGTTACAAAGGTGAATGCGTCAGAGAAATCTTGCAGACAGATTCGAAGAATCACTTCCTCCTCGAAGTATTGGGTTTTTCGTCTCTGCAAGCGGGAGGGGCAGGCCGGTCCTCGATCTCCACCCCACCAATCCTCCGGAGGCTGTCCTGGTTTTGGGATAGTCACGGAGAGTCTCTGCGAGCCAAGCCGCCAAGCCAAAAAGCCAGAAAACTGAAGAGTCAGCCCCTCCGATAGAAACTGACGCCTGCTCAAGCCCCAAGCCCAAGTCTTCCGCCTCTTTCGAGAGAATCGCCGAGATGGACTGCAGGAGGTCGTCACAGGTTTCTCTGGCTTCCTCATGGGGCGTCAAGGCATGAAGTGACCTTCCGAGGCTTGCCTTTCACCACATGGGCCGTAGGCATGCCGCTTAGGACACGCATTGGGTCCTGCACAGGCTCGACGCCGGAGGCCTCTGTCGGGAGTGGGATCTGGATCTTTGCCTCGCGCAGTCGGCTGCGACGACTCGCACTGCAGCTACCGAGGAATCTACCCGACAACTGCCCTTCGGGGTGCCACTCCCATGCTTGCTTGCTTGATTGCTTGCAGGTGTGAGCTATCGAGCCTAGTCCGAAAATCGGGGCCTACAATCGAGACACCACTGCAAGACCCTCAGCATCTTCTTGGCGTTGCCGGGCCTCAACAATTTCCCACGGCAGGGTGATGAACTCCTCCTGGATTCCCCGCGGGTAGAGGTCCAACGAGACGCCACCGCAGACCTTGAGGGCTCGAAGCTCAGAGCAGAAACAGCATGGTCTATACATTTGGTTTGAACAAGAGAAGGATACCTACATACAAACCTACATACCTACATACCTACATACCTACAAACACATAATACATACATACATACATGCATGACATGACATGGCATGGCATGGCATGGCATACATGTATGTATTCTTATGTATGTATGCTTAGACGTATAGACATGTGTCGTAATAGATATAGATAGATAGATCGATCGATCGATAGAAGGATCGATGGATGGATGGATGGATGGATGGATGGATGGATGGATGGATGGATGGATGGATGGATGGATGGATGGATGGATGGATGGATGGATGGATGGATGGATAGATATATAGGTAGATCGGTAGATTGGTAGATCGGTAGATCGGTAGATAGATAGATAGATATGTAAGTAGATAGATAGATAGATAGATAGATAGACAGATAGATAGCTAGATATGTAAGTAGATAGCTAGATATGTAAGTAGATTGGTAGATAGATAGATAGATAGATAGATAGATATGTAGGTAGATAGGTAGATAGGTAGATTGGTAGATCGGTATATAGATAGATAGATAGATAGATAGATAGATAGATAGAATCGATAGATAGATAGGTAGATAGATAGATATGTAAGTAGATAGATAGATAGATAGATAGATAGATAGACAGACAGATAGATAGCTAGATATGTAAGTAGATTGGTAGATAGATAGATAGATAGATAGATAGATAGATAGATATGTAAGTAGATAGGTAGATAGATACATAGACATGTAAGTAGATAGATAGATAGATAGATAGATAGATAGATAAATAGATAGATAGATAGATAGATAAGTAGATAGGTACAAAGACAGATAGATAGACTGATAGACAGATAGACAGATAGATAGATAGATAGATAGATAGATAGATGCATAGGTTATAGCTTTTGTAGATACATGTATTATATGTATATATATATATACATACATATATATATATGTATATAGCAATGATATAGGCATATATATATATATATATAGATACAAGCCAGATATGGTCAGACAGACAGCTAGATAGCTAGTTGGATGGCTAGACGTCGGTAGCTAGGCCGGCGGAAAGGACGGGTGTGATGGGGTGGGATGGGGCGGTGTGGGACTGAACACTGGACTGAACTACTTGGTAACTCTTTGTACTGTCAAGTCCATCCAGGCGTGTATTTGCCTGGGCGTGAACATAGCTCTTAGCTCTTGCTCTATTCTCGTCTTAGGGTGTGTTTCAGAGCCCCCGAGACCGCCGCCTCGAGCAGGACTTTCGAGGGCGTTGGATGTATCCACAGACGGAAAAATAATCCCCCTTTATCACTAGAAGATCCCGCCTCAGCCGGAGTTTCATGTAGCTGTAAGAATTGCTTCAGGTTGCCCTTAGTGACGCCTGGTGCCCGAAGCGGCTGGGATCCTGGACGCCCGCTGCTTGCATGATCGTGCGTTGCTTGAGAGAGGTAGCGGGCAAACACTTGCTGCCTTGCCCAGATAGGGCCGACCTTAGCTTGAGAGACCCCGCAGAGCGAGGCACGGCGATCCGATGTGTTTTGCTGGGGCGAAACTACCCTGGAGAGGCTGACATGCGCCCCCGAGGCGACGAGCGGGCCGACTACAGTACACTGTCTTTCCTGGTGCGCGTGAGCGTGACAAGTCTTGCAAACCCGAAGCCAGCCGACACATTTGCGCGTTTAGCTTGTGCTCGACACACCCTGTTTGTTGCACGAACTGCATCTCGAGCACTGCTGCTTTCCGAAGCAGAGCCACCTGCCATGTGACCATACCGACCTCGCACTTCCGGGTCCTCCGCTCACCTCCCTCCAACCTTTCGGTGCCGGTCGGCACAGCAGCAAGGCGCACAGGAGTCACACCCACCCTCCCACACCATCCCACACCAGCACACCCCCACCCCCACACCACACGCAAGGCATCAGTAGGAATAGAGCACTAGAGCACCCTCTTCGTCTCCCCGTGTCGTCGCGGACTGGAGCCAGAAATAATTTCTCAAATACCCTACCAGCTCACCCTGTGCTAAGGATCAGTAGACCCCTCAAGCGAAGTTCTTAAGACTCTGCACAGCGGAATCCTGCGACAGGGAGGTGAACTCAGTCTCCTGAACCATTCTTCAATCAAAGTCTGCACAAACAGCCATGCATGGGTAGGCAACATTATGCAACAGCACACTGGTCTTTATGTCGTAGCATAACTGCATAACTATTGAGGGATTACGAGGCTGGTCTACAGAGATCCGGATTCGACGCCGGGACCGGTGCAATAGCAGATGGAAGCTGCACAACCTCCACAAGCTCGGGGACCGCCCCTTCCTCCGCTTAGGGCTTTCTTGGCGTAGGGGTTGCATACATACAGACATGCATGCATACGTGCATGCATACATACATACGTAGGTACATAACATAATGACATACCTGCGCACATATATAACTATATAATTATATATATATATATATATATATATATACATATATATATATATATGTATATATATAGATATATCATACATGCCTGCAGGCGTGCATACATACCTACATACACATACACACACACACACACAGACATACATCAATCGCACAGAAATGCAAGGTGACTCATGACTCATATATAGGGTCAAGGGCCTCCAGCATCCACCAGGAGACTGAAACCAATCCTCCACGCCGACCCTGAAACACTGTCTCCCCTCCTCCTCGTGTGGGATCAGGTCTAGAACGGCTGGCCTTGGGCAGCCGAGGTCGGGGAGTTCACGCTTATGAGCGGTTTAGGCCAAGCACACGAGGCTTGACGGTTGGGTGTAACGGGTCATGGTTGGTAATTTGGATGGAAGTGCAGCGGCGAACCGAGGTATCCGCCAATCACGTCGCTGTTGTTTATGAATGTCGTCCTGGCGCCAGCGGGTTTGGGGCTCGGCTGCGACTTGCCATGGTTGTGGGGTTCTCTTATGGACCCGGATAACTCTCCCAACTCTCCCAAACATCATAGCCCAAAGAGCTATGAAGAATGCCATTCCTGGGAAGCCTTCACGTTCCTTCTATGTCACTGCTACCTACAAGCCTTGGTCTTGCAATGCATCCCGCACTTTGCGCATCGGCTCGGCCCGCCCCAAGTCCAGCCTGGATCATGCCAATGTGAGCCTCCTGCACATCTGGGGCGTTCGGCTCAGGGTTCTGAGATGTTCTGACACTTCTGAGGGGACCCGAAGCATCGAAAGTTGATTAAGGGTCGCTACAGCGCTACATGATGTAAGAGCAAGCAAGAAGTGATTTGCCTCAGGGATATTCAGCTGCGCGCAAGATTAGGGACCACTCAGACTCTGAAGCTGCAGACACTCCTTCAGCTCAACCACCAGCCCCTCGTGGCGCTCGAGATCCAAGCGTTCCACCTGCACAACTTGCATTGCTCTTCGCATTAATTGAACTGGAGTCACTCACTGGAGGTGGGTCCTCAGAAGACGGAAGATACTGCTGAAGGCGTCGCGCTCTGAGGTTTTGGATCATTGGCGCAAGCTTCCGTGTGAGACGCTGAGTCGCCCTCTCGGCAGCTCAGAAGCGATCAGAAGCGATCAGAAGCGATTCAGGGAGTTCACGGATTGAATCTCCACCTCCGTCGAAGTCCTCAGAGCCCTCTGCTCTTCGGCTTGCCTGGAACGGCGAATGTACAGCCCAGCCCCTATCAGGAGGAGGACCGCACACCCAGCCGCCAGCCAAGGAAGGATCTCGCCAAGGCCATGCTTAACTGCTTTGCCGTCAGGCTCGGGGGCAGCTGTCGTGCTAGTGCTGCTGGTGCTGGAGGTTTCGGGCTGCTCTTTGTTCGGCTCCACGGCCGGAAACTGGGCGGGCATGTTGTCGATTGCCGGCGGCTGAGGTGGGTCGACCCCCGGGCCCGCATCGTGAGATTCGGTGTTGATGGTGGTGGTGAGGCCGAAACAGTTGTCATTAGACGCCTTCCTGACCCCATAGATTGACGAACAGATCGTGTCCTTGTCACGAACCACGCGGGCGGCCATCATCTTATCTGAGTTGCCGCCTCCCACGTCCTGGCTGTAAGCATAGAAGGCCAAATAGTAGGCTGGCATCTGTGCCAGGGGCACGGTGCCGCTGCAGGCATTTGGGAACTCACTGAAGGGCTTGGCGCAGGAAAGCTCCACAGTGCTGCAAACAATCTCGAAATTCGTCGAGCAGCTGTCCCGTTCTGGCTTCGCCAGCGCAGCATTGGCTCCCTTAGCCGGCTGCGAAGTGATGACATAGCTGGCCCAACACTCGTGAAGGCACTGCGCCAACTGTTTCTCCTCAGGGTTCAGAGCAGCACAAAAAGATTTGATTCACAAGCCAGAAGCAACGCTAGCATGGGTCCCACCACTGTGGGGGCCCATCACAGCTGAATGAGGAATCGGTTGAATCCCTGTCCTCCGGGGCTGTCATGGCCTCTACTCCGGCTTCGGTGCATACACCCGGGCCCTTCATCGTCTCAGTCTCCAGGTAGACGTTGCATTCTGCAAAGACGCCATGAAGACATCCCGCTAAGAGCAAGGGTCGCACCCACGCCTGCGACATGGCCGCGGCGATAACTTAAAACGCCCTCAACAGCCAAGGCAAAGCCGAAATGCCTGCAAAACACCGGTAGCTTCTGCTGGCTGCTAGCTGGCTCAGAGACCCTGTTCTCCCAGCTTCACTCTCTCTTACCAAGGCTTCTCATGTACGTGTAGGCATACCTGTCTGTCCGTCTGTGTCTGTCGGGCTCTGTCTGTGAGTGTGTGTGTGTGTGTGTTATTTTGATTTTGTGTGCATGCATGCATGCATGTGTGTACGTGTTCATGTTGGGTAATGTCCTGTATGTGCATGTAAGACGTTGTTTATAGATCCATGCATTTGCACGTGTGCACACAAACGGGTGCGTCTCAATACGTGGGTAGACCGCTAGACTGACAGCTAGGGCAGCTAAATGAAGCCGCACGTCAATGTGTGCATGTACGCAGGTACAGACGGATCCATGACGACGTTGATCTTACCTGAGCCCTGCTTATGGTTTACAACTCCTTCACCCTGCACCCTGCACTGCCTTGCACCCTCCCTGGCCCTAACCCCGGCTGCCTCCACTCCTAGGTCCCGGCCCAGGGCCGCCCGTCGGAGCAGCCCATCCAAAGCGCGGAAGTCTCCCACTTCCGAAGCCTCCAAGGCCGCCGCAACTCCGGGGGCTTTCGGCAACTCGGGGCTTTGGCTTTCGAGGCTTTCGGATGGAGGCTCCAAGGCTCTAGGCCCAACATCTGCGTCTCTGAACCGAAGCCTGCACCGCAGCTTCACCCCCCCTTCCGGAAATCCAAGACGCCGTGGCCGTGCGAACCCGCAAAACTCGGCGCGCCTGCTTCAGATGCCTTTCGAGACGACTCAGCTCCTCCTCCTCGGACCGAGGGAACGCACGGACATGATGTAGTATTGTCTCGTAAGCTATATTGTTATAATCAATAACATATATATCTATATCTATGTGTGTATATATATATATACAGAGTACACCTTCTGCCACTTGACCCCGATGCCAAACCTAGCATGTCTCGAAGACTTTTCTACTTCGCGCCTTCAGGTCTTCCAGGCTCTTCAGCGCGCTGGCCAAATCCTCCGCACAGGTTGGAAAACAAAGCAGCCTCTGCAAGCACGATATATTTCATTCTTACAACCGGAAGCAACTGCAAGTGCGACAGCGAAAGCCTGCAGTTCGAAGGCTTGCGCGCTGCACGCTGAAGCGTAAGACATGTCGCGAATGCGCAGCATGCGTGTGACTTGCCTCACATCGATGCCGTTCGTCGAGAACTCCATCAGTTGCAATCAAGCAGCCCCAGGAATCAACAAGCCCCTAAACCCCCAAAACTCCAGGAAATCTACCAAAAATGAACCCCTTAAGGGAGGCCCGGATCGCTCGGATCTCCTTCTCCGGCAGGCCATCCTCCTGCTCCGCCTAGAGAGGGCATGCCGATGAGGATCTCAGAGAGTGAAGGGTGAAGGGTTTAGGGTTTAGGGCGGCAATGTAGCGTAACTAGTAGCATAATACGGCATATTTACAACAGTATGTAAACTGTACACTACTCATTTTGGTCGCCTAGCGCAATGAATACAATGCGAGGGCTCCGCGGCCTCCACGACAGCTTGGTGCAGCCGCTGGAGATCCATGGACTGCAGAGAGCGCAAAAGGCAAGGAAGCACACCGACTCCGTTCATTGTTATGGGAATCTGATTAAGAAACTGCAGAAGCCTTGGGTCCTTTCTTTTGGGGTTATATGAATTCTGTTGGGTTGGGATTCTAGGGCCGGGGTTTCTTAATCAGGTTCCGACATCAGGCATTTCCGCACACCAGCGGTTTGCTTTGGTCTACCTCTACCTGGCAATCCTGCTTGCGTTGCTGCGATCCTCTTGTCCGCGGTCGATCGATCGTCAGGCGTGCGTAGACACGGCCTTTTCTGTTTTTTCGAGGCGCAGACTCAGTCTTTTGAGAACTCGAAGCTCGCTAGCAACTCGCGGAGGGTCACAACGAAGACTTCGTGCGGGATCGCCCCCGCGCCGTGTGCCACCAGGTCGTCATCTTCGATGATCCCGGCAGAGACGAAACCAGGTCCGCTGACACAAAGGGTGGGCTCCGGGTCGTGCTGCACCTCCCATACGCCCCGACCTTCACGCAGGAGTATTGGCTGGCACTTACGGAACATTCAAGACGAGTCTAGGTTCGCCTTTCCAACACTACACGCGTATTCTCTATCTGCCTTCTTAGACGTTTATGCCCTATATATAAGCACACATGCATGTATGCATGAAGACCCAGCTACGGGTGCAAAGTGTCTCCGTACAGAGGTACCATATCATGCGATAAACAAATGAATACATATATGATGTAAAAGACAGAAGGTGAACCTGTAATGAAGTATAGTATGCTCGGCAGCCAGCCACATGATGCATACGATGGCTGCACCTTCTCTTCTGGGGCTCCCAGCCTTCGTCTTTCAAGTCCTCTCCGCAAAGGAATTCGCTGCTCAGCTGGTCTCGTGGACCACCCCGTTCCTTGCAGCCAATCATTGTCCTTTTGGAGCCATAGTTCTCGCTGTCTTTCCTGACTGCAGAGTCTCGCAAAACAGCAAAGGTGCAGATGGAATGCGCCGAAATATCCGACTAACCCTGGAAGGCCCCCCCTTGCAGGGGGCTCAAACCTCCCTGCAAGCTGCAGCCGTCGGGTCTCAACACAACTCCCAAGCCTCCCCGGAGCAGTTGGGAGGCTGAAGCTCTACTCCTTTTTCTCAAGCCCGCGAGGCCATCGGGATGATTTCTCTTTCATGTTCTTAGTCTTGTTATTCTGCTTCATGATGACGATGACTGTCATGATTGCTCTTATCAGCCACAACTTTGCATCTGTGTTGCCTGTTCTTGTCATTTCTATGATGAAGCCGGGGAAGCTGGGCAGTCTAAGCCGCCGGCCGCCATGAATGAAACTGGTTGAACTGGGCTCGGCCATCGCTGCGCAGCAGTAGAACGTGGCACTCGTAGTCATGCGCCTCCTGCGCTTTCTCTGGACGCAGACAGACCCCTCTCGAAAAAAAAATGCCTCGCACGGGCCTGCAGCTCCCGCCTCTCGCCCTTTGTCCAAGTCCAGCGCCCCACAAGGCTGTAGACCTGGTGCTCACTCACGGCTGAGCTGACTCCGCGCGTACAAGAAGGAGAGCCTCGCTGCAGCCTGTGGGCAAAGGAAGACTGGGCCTCAGACCACCAGCTGAATCGTCACTTCCTCCACTGCACCGCGGCTGCAGGCCAAACGATCCTCTCTGCGCAATCAAGTTCCCAGCAGGGAAAGGGCTGTCGAGGCTTTCGACTCTGTCTACCGTGAAACACTTTGGGAACATGGCGCTAATCAGGGACCGCTCCTCCATGCGCAGAGGCTCCCCATCTCGAAGGAAGCTGCTGCACTTGCCCGGGACCCGGCTGGTCTCGTCCAGCGCCTGGACACCGACATCCAAAAAGACCGATAGATCGTAGAAGCCGACTGAGACCTGAAACTTGAAACTCAACACCCAACAGCACCAAACAGCCTAGCCTGAACCCTCGACTCCAGCAACAAAGCCCTGAAACCATCAGAGCGTCCCAAAGCCCCAACCAAACCCACAGAGCTTCCCAGGAGGCCGGCCTTTGCAAGGTCGGAAACCAGGGCACCGGCAGGCAGCACCTGGGCTTTTCGTACGATATAGTAGAATACACTAGAACGTAGTAGCATCTAATATAACATATAGTAGAAGAAGGTACCATATCATCTAGAATGATATGTACTTTAACATAATCTAGTGCATGTCATGCTCCCTAGGTTGCATAATTGGGGGATCCGTTTTCATTACAACTGAGCTTCGTGTTCAGTGCCCAGTGCTATGACCCCTAAGTCACATCGCGGACCCTACCATTGGAAACGCGAGTATAGGACCAGGAATTGAGTTCTCTAGGGTGAAGGCACTGTGTGAGTTTCAGCCATTCGGGGAGCCGCAGTTGGACAGGAGCAAGGGGGCTTGAGGCTTCGGGCTAAGGCCAAGCTTCGCGGTCTACGGGGGCGGAGGCTGCCGCTGTTGGCGATGGCTTCACCGAGCGGCAACTGTTGAGTGGGTCTCACCACTCGTAGCAAAGATCACCCTCACCCTGAGCTCGCCCGTGTGCCTCAGCAAGCGTCAACGCAAGGCAGCGCACCATGACACAAACTTGAGCCTGGCTGGCGTAATTCCTTCCTACTCTATACACGGCACACCCGCCCGATTCGATCCACCTGGAGTATGCGGCATGGTCCTTTTCAAGTCTTAATTACGACCTACGAGTCTTGAAGGAACGCGGCCACGCTGCGGCTGCTCTTCTCCTGCTCGGTCCTGCGCTTCGGCTTCTGCACTTGTCCTGACAGGGACGTGCGCATCATCTTTGAGAAATAGAACCCATCAGAAACCCTCAATCCCTCACCGTAACTCTTAACTCCCTAAACCCTGACAAACACAAGAGTTACAAGACCCGAAAGTGCAAAACCCTCAACCCCAAACGGCGCAAAAAGCCTGAAGCCCCACCCAAGAGACCTTATAAAAACCCAAAAAACCCTGAAAGGCCCAAGAGCCCCTATACACTACATGGTACTGGGTGCCCGCGCCCTGCGCGGCCACCGGGCGGGAAGCACATGAGGAGTTGATAACGCTGCTTTTGCGTTGTAATTTGAGGGAGGAAGTGGTTTTTAAGGGTGTGGATTTCCAAAACTACTTGGGGTTCGGAACAGCAACGAAGCGGAATGTCAATGATGCAAGCAGCTCTGAGAATGCTTTGGCGCTGAAGCTACTCCATTAAAACCCCTAAGGTTTTTTCCTCAACCCATAACCGTGGACCGTGAACCTCAAACATGCAAGCCGAACTCCTGAACCCGAAAGCCTAGCAGGATCCCGGCAGAGGGCTCAAACGTAGAGGTCCAAGGTGCCAACCAGACAGGAAGCTATACCAAAGCAAATATAGTATGGATAGTATCTTTATGTATTCGTATAGTCGTGCAGGCTGCGTGAAGATTT